TACAAAATATTATCTTGAAACTCTACAACAAGATTTTCAAAAAAATGGTCTTACTCAACGAATTCATGAAAATACAGGACGAATACCACATTTATCATCAAAAGTTATAATTACACCTAAATTAAAAGATATTATCAAAACATTTATTTCCGATTATACACAAATTCATGGATTACCATCTCCTTTAAGACATCGGACTGATTCAATGGCATTTATTTATCTTCCAACTTCAACAACATATAAATCTGTCTATAATGAATTTAAAGTTGCATAGTCAGTTAAAAAGAAGAGTTAAATTAACCATCTATATTTTTGTTTTGATGTTTTTTTCATGTGATTGTTGATAATAGTGCAAAATGACTAGGTGTATTTTCAATAAAAAATAGTATCGCAGTTACTATTTTACATATGCAAAAAATAAATACGATTATGTATATAAAATTAAATCTGCTTTAATATAATTTGACTTGTGAATACAGAGTGTTTATGCATGTAAGTGACATTACAAAAAAATAATTCACTTGAATTTTTTTTTATTGCTTGGATGTTACGAAAATGCATTTAAAGATTACTTAATAAGTCCAGGATTTCTGTTGTCAACTTTTATTTACACTTTTTTATTTTTAAAATTTTTAAATAACACGTTATATATATTTGTCCTTGCGAGAAAGTGTAAAACCTTTCTAGTATGTCTTGTTTCTACTGTCTAGCACAAACTAGAGCGGAAGTTATGTCACTATCTCTCGTTAAAACTTGCTCGTCATATTTTTCTTTTTTTTTTTAAGAAAGTTGAGAGAATCTGCTTCGTCTAGGGAGCAAAATGATTCCCAGCCCTGCCCTGACCGGCTGGCTGATGTTCATTTATTTTTCAAAATGGGTGAAATTTAGGTTATCGTGTTGTTATCTTTCTCCCTTATCTTTATCATCGTCTTTTTTTTCGTTTTTTTCATCTCGGTCTCAGTCTTCAACAGACTATTTATCAAATTTTTTTCTCTAACAAGTCCTCAACGACTTTTGTTCAGTCCCTAACAGACTGTTTATCAATCTTTTCTCATTACAATTTCTCAACGACTTTTATCAAAAAATTTTTTCCCATTACAAGATTACTAATATATTTATCCCCCTTATAAAGAAACATGTAGTAACTATGGAAAAAGAACGACCATAGTATTTATTCTTCGGAAATATCCAACTTTTTAGCGGAAAGAGCTTGCGAGATCCATACACTTGCATCATCAAAAAGATGGGTTAAAATAGTATCATGAGTAAGATGGTAATAATTAGCAAACCAATACTTTAGCAACACAATAATTTCTCTCTCGATCACGTGAATTCACAAAACAACCCATATCCATTTAAGGGATTTTAATACCAAAGAAGAGGTAATTCACTAAGTGTTATTTATACATTTAAAAAACAAGAATTTATTAGTTATGGAGTTATCTAGAGATATTGTCAAGGACGAACGAATTGTCAAATATTATATACAAAATGCTTCTGGAACCTTACAAGTATGTTTCAATATTGCCGCGTTTTCTTTAAGCAAATGCCGCATTAAATGTTATTTGATACTCCAAAACAACCGGCAAATAATTATAAGACAACAGAACGGGCAACCGCAATGCCTGAAAATAGAGATATATGTAGCGACGCTTGCGGCGAGCACATTTGTGGACGGTCTCGCACTTTTTTATTGTCCGGAGCGTTAGCGAAGGACTATTTACTGTAACGACTTAACAAAAAGCCCCCGTTTTTGCCCCTGTCACAAACATCAGTTTATTTTCCTTTTTTGAAAATACATCACGATTATGTTACTCTTTTACTAAAATCCCCTGAAATGTACTAAAAAGAATTATCAACAGATCGGCTATAAAAACCCAAAGTTTGTATACGTTTCCCTAGTTCCATAAATATCGCCCAGCCTCCGAAATCATTAAGATTTCTGGATCAGCAAATAGAATGGCTGTTTCAACATTTGAAACAACTCGCGAAATGGATATTGATATTAGAGGCAGAAGTACAGAACATACCGACAACAATATGTATAGCCTGGAAGTCAAGATCTCGTTCGGGACAACACTGATAGGGACCAGGCAAACCAGAAAAGGTTTAATGGAGATGCGACAGGAGTTCGACATGAGATACAATCGTCTCTTTCCCCGAGACAGGAATATGAATTTGATAGCAAAATCAAGAACGGTGGAAATTCGGGAACTGCGCAGAGACGAACGCGTGGTCCCATCTAGCGTCCTGGAGACGCGATCTACCGATCAGGTCTCGTGCAATCAACACAGGAACACAAAAAATGATATTACCTTGCAAGAACTGTCGCCTGATTATGATACACAGGACTCCCAAGACGCACTTCGAAGCGGGATCATTTCTTTCATGACGAGACAAACAATAATGTCTTGTCTGATAATGAGATTGATTATTTTTCTAAAAATTACGGTATTACTGGTGCATATCCCGTACTCTCATATGATGATTTACTCTTCTGGATAAAAGATCATGATGGAGTTGTATACTTATGGTCTCGTATGGAAAATAGTATTATGCTTGTAGGACATGACATGAAAGATGCCTTGATGAATTATCTTTTTCATCAGGAAAATCTTCGTTATGTTAATGAGTATACACATGAATTGATTACACTAGACGAAGCTGAACGTGAAGGTAAAGAATGGGCAGAATCATGTGAGGTTGAGACTTATGTTGTAACTAAAGAATCTCTCAAGCCATTAAGGGGAAATCGAAAGGAAGTAGAAAAAAGAAGCAAAAAAAGAAAAAGAATAAGAATAAAAAATAACTGATTTATTTTACTATTAGGCATCTTTAATTCTTCATTAATATAGTTAATGTGTTCTAATGTACGCTCCACAGTGAAGACATGCTAAGAGATACCAGATAATTATTTATATATGAAGAAAAGCTGAAAAATTGAGAATCAATACATACTTCTAATTCTACAAGAACATCTTTCCATATTTCGGCATTTTGTTCCTTCACTACGTTTTCCCAAAATTCTCTTACTTCTTGAGTATTTCCTCATCCTTTTTATGAAAAAAATGGTAGCAATAGCTCTAATAACATTGTTTTAATAATTGATGTGATACAGGAAGACACGTCGAACACAATAGTTCATAAACGACTAAGAGCTGAACAGCCCATATCAATCACGATGGATCACCAACAACCAGAGTAGAAAAGTTCGTATAGATCAACAACGAACTTTTCAAATCATTGAGTTATATAATTGATGCAGTGCCTACTAAAATAACAACAACTTTATAATTATAATTAACTTCGAAAGTGTCCAGAGCAAAAGCTGCTATACGTTGTTGTTTTGCTTGATTTAGTTCTGCGTAAGGTCGTAACATACGTTTAATATTCTTTCTGCTTATTTGCTGTTCAAATATCTTCATTCTGTCTAAACAACAGAAAGTTAAAAAGCGACCATTCCGAAGATCTGAAAAAAAGTTCGTTTTCATTTTTTCAAGCAAAGAAATAAAATTACAGAATCGACTCAATCATTCAGGGATAGTGCATTGCAGGTAGGGATGAGAAAAATAACGGTGAATTAAGATTTGGTTAATTTACCGGTAATTCTATTGTTACCCAGTATTAAAGTTCATTATCTTGGCAATCAAAAAAAAAATTTAGCATCTGCCTTTTCGAAGCCAGAGAATAAAAATTTCTCGAAAAAATTAAACACGTCTAAAAGCCGTTGCTGATCGCGTGACGCAAACGTGTTTATCACGTGCCTACTGCGCCAAATATAAAACATTTATTTTATTCTTTAAGCTCTTAAAGATAAATTCATTTTTAACAATCATAAATATTTCGTATGAAGTAATACATAATGCAAAAGTAAAGATGAGATTAAGAAAAGAAAATATATATTAAATTCTACGTTAATTTCACTACACAGAGTGCATTAAAGATTTTGATTAAACGCATAATTGAAAGGTGCAACGTCGATTTGCCCTCCCAAGGTTAGCTTATGTATCACGACGGCAGAAACACATACGTCCGGAATACCATTCTGATGGCGAACCTTATATAAAGAAATGGATTTAAGAAAGCGGAGAATATAGGTGTAAGGGACTCAAATATATGAAATAAAAATTTTTTTTAATACCAAAGGGGGAGGATGTTTTCACACTGTCCAAGATCATTGTTTGTTCTAAATACAAAAACGGTATTTAGTCCTTGGACATCGAATCCTCCGTTTGCTGTAAAATGGGCTACAATCGCATTTAGTGTTTGTCCAGCAACGCCATTTCTACAGCCAGGTATTGCGGGAACATCGTTGAATCCTGGATCATTCCATTTTACAACGATTGCTGGATCTTCAACTATCATCATGTTTTTTACGGCGTAAAGCACATTCGTAGCGATAGCGTTGTTTTGAAGCACGTTTGGTAAAGCCGAAGGCACTAAATAAACATGAATATTTAATAATAATGGTTTATCGCCCATTGTTCTATTACATACCTATACCACTTTTTCGGGCAAGTTTTTGTACGGGTGTTTCGTTACCTACAATCATGAGAACTTTATTAAATATAATGTAACTATTCGTAATATTGTTATTGAAAAAATACCTTTACGGAAACACTTTAAAAATGTCATTTTGTAAAGCGTATTAAGATGCGAGAGAGAGAATGATCGCAAAAAAAAATAATAATAAAAAATAAATTTTATTGATTTATTGAGGATTTGATGATTTACCCCACCCCCCCCGTAAATTAAGTTGTGTTACATTCGGATTTATTACCGTTGTGATCGAAAAGAAATAAATTTTATTGACTTTATAATTTTATCGTGATTATTGTTTTAAAATGCAAGAAATTTTTTTAATTTTTTTTTTTATTAAAAAAAAATCAATATACAGTAACTTTTTTTGAAATAAATCTATTAATTAAATGGCAGTAATTGGAAGTGCTTTGAAAATACGTATAGCGAAGACACTGGCATGTCCGAGAAAAATTAAAAATAACTGATTTTATTAAAAAAAAAAATAAAACTACAAATAGTATTTGTGAGACAAGCAGAATATTTAATATAGTAAAAAAAAGATTAACTAATGTCTCTCCAATCATTTCATATTCCATCTATAGTTTATTAACTTTTTCTTATATTTTATTTAATCATTTATTATTTTTATCTCTTAGATATTTCATCTTCATACATTTTCTTTGGCTATATTTAATTATGCAATAGCTATTCGTTATTATATTTTCTTTGTATTATTCTTAATAAATATATATCTTAATATTCTTTCTAATAATTATTTTTATTCATATTGCTTTATTCCTAATCTGTCTTTCCTAAGATATTTCATCTTTATAATATTTTTTTCATTCCTTTTTCATAGTTCTTATATCTTTATATTTTCTCTCTTCTTGTTGTATTTTTCTTTTATCATTTTTCAAAGTATTTCTTTCACTTATTTTAATTCTTCATTCATATTTCTTAATTTATTTTATCGTGATATTATATTTTGTATTTCATAGTAATTTATTATTTTCTTTTGATCATTTTTATTTTCATTTATCTTTATAGTTATATTTTTTTATTTATTTTGTTTAGACTTTCTATTTAATATTTTTATTTATTTTTTATTATTTTATTTTTTATTTTTATTTTCCATAATCTCATTTTATTTTATGTCATAAAATAAATATTATTTCTAAGTTTATTTAAGTTTATTATAATTTATTTATAGTTCAACAATAATTATAAAAATTAATATTTCAATTAGGTTCTTATAATCTCACCTATTGACTTTAACATTTTAAAGAGGTTGATATTATTAAGATCAGTTTATTAATAAAGGAATAATTATATTTAATACAATTGTATCTCTATATAGTTACTCTCTTTATAAGCATATTATATATATAATCACATATTTGAAATTTTAAATAAGTTTAAATTATAAGAAAAATCCCTCTTCATAATTACAGTTATAATAATTTCTTTATAAGTACATTTGCTTTAAAAGTCACTATATGTCTAATTGTATAATTATAAGGAGATATAATTGTATTTAAATTTTATTATCTGAAGCATAAGCGTAGAACACTTTTATTCAGATCTCAAAATATATATACAATATCTGTTCATACGTATGTATAGCTAATAAAATTTTTAAATGAGGTGTAATGTGATATTTTTGTTTACATCACTATATATATAACAAATAAAAATATTTTATTTTAAATCTTAATAATTTTTTAATAGTATTACTTAAAATTTTTTAAAATTGATTGTAAAATAAAAAGTTGCGTTAAAAATTTTTTCAAATATTATGAATGAATATAGACAGATACATTTTATTTTATTTTATTTTTTTTAAAGAACATTTATTTTTAAGCAAAATACTAATACATATTTTTGTGATAAACTTTTTAGTGTTATATTTTTTTAGTGATCTATTTTATTTTATTTTTTTTATTACTTTTTATATGATCATGTGATTTATAATATTTTAGATGCATCAATAGTTTCCATTCTAGTTTATTATTAAATTATAATATTATCATAGCTTTACAAAATAAAAATTATTTCTATTTATAATAATTTAATATTGATTAATTTTGCTAGTTTCTATTCACATTTTCTTTATAAATTATTATATTATTTTTATTTTAGACATTTTTTCTTTACTTTAATTTATTAAATATTTTATTCTTCTTTCATTTTTCTATAATTTATATATTGATTATATTTTCTTTTACATAATAAGTAGCTATTTTTAAAATATTACAGTTCAAAATATTGACAATTCAGAATGTTTTTAAATATCTTTGAAATATTGCAATATTTTTAAACTAGACATTTTTATAATATTTTTAAAATATTTCAAACATTTTTTAAACTTTTTTTATATAAAAAATTTAATATGCATTAATTATTTACTATAAAAATAGAGATATCATTAGATATTATGACACAGCTATAATCCTAAAGATATTAACAATTAAGTAGTAAATAACTATTATATTTTTTAAAAACTAATACCTTTGATAAGAAAAATCACATGAATTATGTAAGTTAGATATAAATATATTTTTTTACATTATAAAAAATTTTTTTTACAATTTTTTTTTAAAATTAATTTTATTTTATTTCTTAAAAATAAAATTAAAAAGACAGTAAAATTTAATACTGCTCATAAAATTTTAAACAATTTATATTTATAATCTAAAATATTAAAAAATACTGACATTAAAAAAGCAAACAATTTATCTTTTCTAAACAAGTTACAGATTCAAAAATAACAAAAAATTAACTTGAATTCTTTAAAAAATTCCAAAGAATATCATTGAATTTTACCTATAAGATAATTAATATAAACTTTATTAAATCTTATTTCAGATATATCTATAATAAAAAATCAAGTAATAGGTTTTATTACTATTATGAAAAAAAAGATGAAACTAAATATAAAGTATTATCAATAATATAGCTATTAATTGGATTAATCAATATTTAATAGAATTTTCAACTATTTATGAAATCAATTTATGTGATTATTATCAATTTTCTATTTTAACAAAAGTAAAATGAAGATTAAGCATTATTAGTTAATAATTGATCAATTTAATTTTCGAAATGATGGTGGATTTATTTCAAAGATTTCAAAGATTTCATGCAAAAACTAATCAAAGAGAAATAATAGGAGATGTAATACAAAAAATTCCAATTCCAGCTAATTCATTTAATTCTAAAAGACCAATGCTTCAGTTATACTTTAAAAAAAGACCATTAGATGCAGGGTCAATTTTAATTTATAAACAGATCCAAAATGTAAGTTAATTATATTTTATTTTATAAAAGTTTATAAACTTTTGATTTATTAGGAAAAGAAACTGGAATAGGTATTGTAAGCAACATATTCACTATCTAAATTTGGCATTGAAATTGATGGCTTATTAATGAATCATTCTTGGCAAAAAACATCAGCATAATTAAGAACTGAATATTACTGGACATCAAAGTGTTGATGCGGTACGAAAATATAAAGTGACAAATGATCAACAAAATATGAATACCCTGCAACAGCTTATTTCTACTTATAACATAAAAGACCAAGAATCTCAAAATCAAGTTCAAAAATATTAATAATCAAGAAATTTATAAGCCTGTGAAACAAATTCAAGATTACAATTACAATCTTCTTAACTTTTATTTTATTTATAATCATAAAAGCTTATTTGCGGTACGATATTCGTTTGATATATCTTGATAGTTGCGTCATGTTGATATTTTCACGGAAAATTCAACTCCGATAGTTGAATCTGGAAAAAATAATCAATATGAACCGAACAATTAGTAAGCGGGTTATATGTAAAATTTTTTTATATAGTTTTTATATAGGTTGGTTTTTTCTTATATGGGAAATTTATAATATGTGGCTATATGGGGTATTTGTACTGTAATTTTTATATTTCCATATAGAGGTTCTAGTATGTTTTACAATTTTTTCAATCGAACAAATTGAATCAAGGTCCGACGATCCGAGAAAAATTAAATTGATCTACGTATTAATTTTAATTTATTCAAAGATCGACTTAATACAATCATATAAACGATAACTTTATTTGTAAAAGAATTTGATTACAACAGATATTTTTATTAAACTTATTGGTGGTCGTCGAAATTAGTTATGACAATCAATACCCTAAAGTCGTAAATTTTAAAACCGGTAAAAACCGCCAATCCTATTCTTATAATACGGTTATAGGAATTATTCCGTAAAAGCCGTAAATGAATTGTTGACAAAGCATTTAATATGTACGTACAATAATAACGTAATACCGCCCGGAATTATGTAATACTGGCCTGCGTTATTCAATCAAAAGGGAAAAGATTGACATAATCTCGAATAAAAATCATTGTCAAATTGTCGTGTAATAATATTAAGTTGAATTCAACATTTTTTTTTTGTGATGAAACACGAGACCCTTGGCAGTAGCGATATCGAGACAATACGGGACATTTGCAATAGAAAGGGGGGAAACAGCCGGAAAAAATCTATTTTACTTTTATATGCCAAATATGATTTTTAGGTCAAAATATGTTCAGATTTAGCAATAACTCATTTTTTATTTTTTCCAGCCGTTTCCCCCTTTTCTATTGTAAAGATCCCATATGTTTAAAAACTGAAAATAACGTGACAAAAAAAATTTGATCTAACGTGTGTAACCTTCAGGAGGTGGCTATGAAATGAAAATCACTACGCCATTACCGGATATGGAACTACAATCGTCCAGGAGACGAACCAATAATTGGAAAAACGGCAGATCAATAAGTTCCAGAACGATAAAATCTTAAAAACTCTTGTGACATTTTCGGACGAAAGAGCTAATACGGGTAAGTTTGAACGATAATGTAATTAATAATTGATTTGAACCAAGAACTCTACACTTTCAATACTAATCTAAAAATAAAACTTGAAACTTTTTTTTTTTTTTAAAGAAAAAGCCGCGTAAACTTATTCCCAGGCAACTTTTTTTTTAATATAAATGCACCCGTACGTTTGAACATAAAAAAAATGAAAAAAAAAGAACCGATTAACAGATACATAAACATAATCATCAAAATTAATTAATAAATAAAATCATCATCATCAATAAATAAATAAATATTAAAATCATCCTCATCATGGGTTTATTTAATACGATTTTCGGTGATATTAAACTTACCGATGTTTTGATCGGATTGTTAACCATAACATGTTCATACGTTTTTTATTTCTACTATAAATACTTTACTCGTCTCAATCCACTTCCAGGTCCGATTCCACTCCCGTTAATAGGTAGTTTTGCAATCTTCATGGAAGATATAGATGCTTGGTTCTTTAGATTGAACAAAATTTATGGACGTGATGGCATTTTCGAATTGAATATTGCTGGCAATAGACAAATCATTATGACACGTACCGACTATGTAGATAAATTTATGACGAGTAGTACTTCGTCGCACATCATGAGAACCGCGAACAATGGACTCTTGGACCTATTTGATCTTCATAATAAAGGGGTAGGATTGAATCATAGTTATCAACATTGGAAATTCAACCGTCAGATCTTCTCGCAGGCCGTCATGCCATTGAGCTTAACCAACAAGCCCAGTAACATCTTGAATCAATTGTTTGAAGAAATGGCAGGTCTTTGGATCGATTTGAAACCGGAAAACGATTATGGAACCACGATCGATATGGCCGCTTGGTTGCGTCGTTTCACGGCGGATTTCATATCCTTGTTGACCACCGGGAAACATATTTCCGTCATGAATCATTATCGTGGGAAATTGAAGCGTGATGTGATGACCGAGGAGATGATCGAATCCGAAGAGTTCATCGATTGCATAAACACCTTTGTATCGGACAATCAAATCATCTTCGTACCTAAAATTTTGAAAGACTTGCCTTTGATTAAACCTCGGGTGAATAAATTGTTAGATAATTGTGATCGGTTTTATAATAAATTGGTGAACATCATCCGAAACAGAAGAAAGGAAATTGAGAAAGAAATCAAGATTGGTTTATTTAAGACGGAACAAATGGATTTGTTGACATCTTTAATCATTGCCAATACACAATATGATCCTAATCCTCAAAAAAATCTTGACCCAACAATGAACAAACTAATGACTGATGATGAAATCCGTGGTGTTATGTTCGACGCTTTTGTGGCCGGTACTGATACAGTAAGTGATCCAACACTGTCATTTGATTTCAATCGTTAATGCATATAGAGTATTCATGTATTTATTTATTTGTTTATTTATTTTTTTTTTTTTAGACTGTAAATACATTTTGTTTCGCGTTATATTACCTTGCACATCATCCCGAAGTTAAAAAGAAAATGTTGGAAGAGATTGAATCGATTTACAAGGATGATCCAACCAGACCGATAACTTTGGAAGATCTTGAAAAATTAAAATATGTCGAAGCGATAATCAAAGAAACGTCAAGGATAAGACCTACGGTCAGCATGATTTCAAGATATAGTAATAAACCCGATGAAATAGCCGGATACAAGTGGCCAACCAATACATTATTCATCATGTATGTTCGTGGGATTAACAACAACCCACTTTATTGGAAGGACCCCGAAAAATTCATTCCAGAAAGGTTTTATGAACCCCAAGAGGAGATGCCAAAGAATGCTTTTACAATGTTTGGTGGAGGTTTAAGAATTTGTCTAGGTAGAAAGATTGCAATCATTGAGTTAAAAACATTGATGGCTTTACTTTTTAGAAAGTTTGATGTTGAATTGATAGACATGGAAGCACCCCTTGAAGTTGAAACTTCAACGATCACCACCTGTAATGGATTAAACATCAAAATCATTCCAAAGGAAAAAATCATTTAAATGTCAGTTTCGAAAAAATTGTTTATTTTTTTTGATATGGGTGTGTCGTGTGATTCCGAAAAATTCCGAAACGGGAGGTTTTTTTTTTGCACAACCTATGGATTAAATAATTATTGATTAACGGATCCCCATTTAGCATTTAGCACAATGTATAATAAAAACATAAATCTTAGAAAATAATAAATCTTTCATTATTAAAAAAAATAAAAGAGTTTCATTTTTACGTGTTTATTTTTTAATTAGGTATTTTATTATTAAATTAATAAAATCTTTTTAACGGAGGTGAATTTCAACTATCCGAAAAAAAATTCTAGTGTTATTAAAATCACGTGACAAATATATTTACCGATTATTTTTACAATATGCAATTTTATTAGTAATTTAAAACATACGAGAATACATACCAATTTAAAAAATTTAAAACTTGTAATATACTGTATGTTGTCAATCTTACAGCTTATCGTTATGGAATAGTAATTTCACAATAAAATGTTTTTAATAAATATAATAATGTAGATTTCATAATACCTGCACCATTAGAAAAATTACAGTCAGTCGCAATAGTTATACAAAAAAAAATTTTTTTATGTCAATTTAATAGAACTTGCCTAAATCGAAAAATTGGAAAATATAAATTTAGATAATAAAATAATACAGTATATGGAATAGATAATATAGTATGTTATTTATTTTACAGAAAGTGATAAAATATAATCCTGAAGATGAAGAGGTATTTAAGAGGTATTCAATATAATACTTTTAATACTTTTAGTGTTGTATAAACAAAACTTTAAAAAAATAACGACCTCGGCTTTGCTTATTTTCAATTTTTGGCGAACTAAAAGGAACTATTCTTTTTTGCTGAGAGGGAAAAAGTAAGATAGGAAATGGAAAAATCAGTCTTTCTATTGCTTAGAAATACTAATCTGTTTTGCCAATTTCTGGTAATGGCTGGTGAAAAAATTAGAAAGGGAGTTTAAGGAGTTAAAAGTTCCAAGCTTATTATTAACGGAATCCTTTACGCGGTTACAATCTTCATAAATAGAAAACAGTAAAGAAATAGGATAAATCCTTCTTGCATAATCAAGTAATGAAGAAGTATAACTAGTACAACTAGAGATTATCATGTCATAATTTTTACAATAAAGCCAATATAAAATAAGTTGTGAAATAAAAGCGAAAGATATATATAAATAGTTATGAACACAAAGATAGAAAAGATAATACAAAAATCTAAAAAACCATTTTGTCGCAATTCCAAAAGTTATAGAACATAATATCAATAACTACAGAAATATTATTAAAGTTAATAGAATTGAAAATGTAACAAAAAAATTATTTAATATTTTTATACCATAAATTTAATAAAAAAAGCAAAATAGGCAATGGAGCTTGTAGGATTGAAGCTTGTAGGAACCGTGGTTGGGTTGGAGCTTGTAGGAACCGTGGTTGGTTTGGAGCTTGTAGGAACCGTGGTTGGATTGGAGCTTGTAGAAACTCTGATGCTTTCTGGCGTTAGGGGAGTAGATATGGGTGTAGGTTGGTCTCTCTCTATCTCTCTCTTATTCTCTTCTGTTCTATAATGTGCAATAACCTTTTTAGTAACATAGGCAACAACAATAATAGTAAATAATCCCATTTTTTTTGGAAGTCAGAAAAAATAATTCTAATAATTCTATTAAATATAAATTTTCGAATTAAGTATAAATTAACAGATGAGATGAATAACAAATATTTGGGGTGCGCGCATGTCTCATATCTGATTTTACTATAACTTTCATTACCTGAATGATACTGAATGCAACTGAATGCGACTGACTGTAACGGAATAATTTTTCTATGAAATTAGCTGTAAAATGATTTTTATAAAATTTCCAAAAATAAATGTTACACGATTTTTGGGACAGATCGACAGGATTGATCATAGGATCAGCATGACAGAGTTTCTTAAGTAAATTAAGGAAGATCGACATTGGCAAATTCGAATTAGTAAATAAATGACGGAAATGACTCTTTATATATATCAATTTAGTAACAATTATAATGTAACACAAAATTTGCTGATTGTTTCTTAGGCCGATCCAATTTGATGTTTAAAACAATGCTTCTTAAAGCATTGCCGAATTTGGAAAAAAAAATCAACAGTATAGAGCCTTTTCAAATTGACTTTTTTAACTTTTTTTCTTATCGTTTGTAACAATTAATAATAAAAAAAAAGTCAAATTTAAACCGTTTGAATAGGCTCATAATAAATTCTATTTTTAATCAATTTGAAATAATGTACTACTACCATTTTTAGAGTTTATTGTATGATATGAAATATTACAATGATATTGAGAAAACTTTTTTCTGTTTTCTTTGTTTTAAAAATATGCATTTGATTGTTACAGTTAAAGAAGATGCTAAAGATATTGTTAAATCAACCCTTTTAAAAGTTGATGATTATTACTTTGAAATCCTTTTTTAAAAGATTACACTAGACACATATAAACAGAAGAATTTTGAAGTTTATTGCTGAATAAATATTAAATTTTTATGGATTCATATTAAAATTCAGATGAGCTTATTACAGAAGTAATTTAGTGATTTAAATCACTAAACTGAAGTTTATAATAGATTCAGCAATAAATCAATTAGCTATACCTATTTCATTTAAAAGAAATACATTAGATCTTATCATATATCAAATCAGAAGTAGCTTCAAAATTACATATAATGATCTACTATATAGTAAAATAATTATTCTTTTAAAAAAAGTTGGTTGGACAGGTGGATTAAATTTATTAGTAGGTGAAAAATGTGTTAAAAGATTTACAGATAGATTAATCCATAATTTAAGAAATTTGCAGACCATAAATATCATTTATCAAATTTATTTATAGAATTGTTAACATATAAATAAAATTAATGCTATAACTGATACTATCTTATTATATATTATAAGTGTGAAGAGATTGCATATAAAAATTAGATAAGCTAGTAAATTCTTTAGAATTTAATCTTACGTAATCTTAAACACAAAATTTCCTTTAGAATTTATTAATAAAAGATTTATATAAGCTAACAGAAATAGTTATAAAATATATGATGTATCTTAAATAAGTTAATAACCCAATAAATGAATTACATAAATCATTAGAATCAATAAGAAATAAGATGATTATAAATATATTAATATTAAATAATATCTTCCAAAACTAAAAATGCAAAAATATCAATTTATTAAAACTTAAAATTGATACTTTTTATAGGTATTATCAGTATCATACTGGTAATTATCTTGAAATTATGACTTTTATTTGAAAAGTATCAATTGAAATTAATGATTGTTCAGAAACATAAAATGTATAAATACTATTATCTACACAAGAACTTATATCTCATAATTTATACGTCAAATATAAAAAAAATATATAAAAATAAGTTTACTATTTACTATTACAAGTAAAAATATCAGCAGCTGAATAATGTAATATTATGGCTAAGATATTTGATATTTAAAATTTTAGATTAAATTTAATATTTCATATTTAAATTTTATTTATAAAAATAATTTATATAATATTATAACTAATATAAATAATTAATTACATGCTAATATACTGATACCTTTCTAATTTAAGTATTAATTTTGCTATTCTCTTTATCAACTTTGTATTTTGTATAACTATAAATATTATTTCTTATACCTAAATAATAACTACACTTTTTAAATAATGAAGGAGTATATTTTATAGTATTTTTTCTATTAATAATTTGTATCTTTTTAGAGGTCAGCCTTTTGGTTTATGATATTCTGAATTAGAAATATTATAATTATCTTTCAAATTACTCAAAGAAGTTTAGCTTATTGATTGAACTTCAATAGATAAATTATGGATTTCTTTTAAACTAAATTTAGTACTATTATAATACTTTATATTAAGTTGTATAAGTAAATCAAAAAGTTCTGTTATACTATATTTTGATATTGCAATTTAAACGTTTATTTTTGCTAATAATATTATATTATTAAATTGAATTTTCTTGCTAATCTTTTTCCTAATAATTGATATATAAGATTAGTAAATCTAATTTATTTAATATAATGCAAATAAAATAGTTATATAATCTTTACTCTTTAAGTAATAATAATATTTATTTTAGATAGAATTGATTTAAGCTAATAAGTATAAATAAATGAAATATGAAATATCACTTTAGTTAACTGAAGAAAACACAATATTGATATCTATATAACATACTTTAATTTATAATATTCATATAAGTATAAAGTGAAGTTAAATCTTTAAAAATTATTATGTAATATAATATAGTAGGTAAAATTAAAATTATAGCAATATAATGAATTTCTTATCTTTTAAAATATAGATATAAATTAGTTATAAAACATTATAGAAAAATTATAATATTTTAATATCTAAAATATCACTAATTAATACTTTTTTTTTTGAATTTTTACTTAGAAAATATCATAAAATTTATTATAAAATATTAATTTTTAAATTATTAAATAAAATTACAGGCAAATTTGCTTACAAAATGCTTAAAGGGATAACTTTTAAATAAAAGTTCACATAATTAAATTTGTGATACATCATATTCATATTAAATTAACTTCTAAATATTGAATTAAATTCTGTAATCTATATACAAATAAAAAAATTTTATTAACTATTAGCTTCATATTTCAACTAATTAGTATTCTCTAATATTAACACTAATCCTTATCTTTAATTCTAACCTTATTCTAAACTAATTCTAACCTTAATTTCACTAATTCTAATCCTAAACCTAATTTTACTAATCCTAATCCTAACCCTAATCTTATTAATCTTAATTCTAAACCTAATCTTCATCATAACTTAACCTAACTCTAATTCTAATAATTCTAACTTCTAATTCTAAATTCTAATTCTAATTCAAATTTTAATTCTAATTCTGAACCCTAATTCCTAACTTTAACCTTAAGCAATTCCTTTTCAATACAAATAATCAACACAAAAACTTAATACAAAATATTTTATGCAAAAATTTTCTAAAGAGATATACCTTTTTTTTTTTTACTTGTCTTGAATTTCCTTCCATAACTGATAAAATTAATTTTGATATGATAACTTCTTTATATACTTTGAAGTAACATGTTACAAATTATAAATTTTAATTATTTTTTCTTGAATTTAATTTGACACTACAATGTGTTACAATGTGATTTCGAAAATCATCCATTTATCCCAGTATCACCACCAAAAATTCTACCTCACGTGACATTTGGCTGGCATTACAAATAAAAGGTGACGAATATAATTTCGCATCCAGAAAAAATTCTCTGTTCCCCAGAATACTTATGAAAATGGAAACGCGAAGGGTGTGATGCAGAGTGAGAAATATTTTTATGATCACGTGGGGTAGAATTTTTGGTAGTGAAAATCATTCACATAAGTCACATAGTCATACAGAATAATTAATTATTTTTTTTCTGCACGAGATTTGTAAAAAAAAACTTGCCAATTGAGTTGATATTTTTAGTTTTATTAAAGGAAATCACAATCCCTTTAAAGAATCTATTGGTACTGACTAATGGCACTAATAGCTTGCTGATTATGACACTTTGATGAATAAAATACAATGCTATTTCTCCCTTTGAACACTCAGCGAGTTCAATAACAAAATTTTAGAGGTTAACCTTAATGTAAGGAATGTAGTACCAATATCTTCCAAATCATTTTGAAGTAAGTTGTTTAAGCAATATACTTATTAATTAAATATAAAATTTTTTTTTAACAATTGAATTTTTCAGCTTTACTTATTTTATATCTTTTAAAAATAAATCAATAAAAAACATAATGTTCTAAATTATATATATAATAGCTTTCAAAAGATGACTAAATGAAAATTTTATCTTTAGTCAAAAATTTCTCGGAAGCTGATTTTTCTAGAAAACTACTCATATAACAAAACATTTAATAATTAACAAAAAAAAAATTTTTATTTACGTCACATTATAATATTAATTAATAGAAATTTAGCAATTTCAATATCTTCTTCTTAAAACTTATCAAATTACACAAATTTTACAAGACCACTTTCAACGATCACTTTAAGACCACAATGACCAGACCAGTTAGTTAAGCTCTTCGAATTTTGTTTTCTTAAAATAAAAATTCTTATAACAAAATAATAAAAGAACAACTTTAGTATTTCTACTAAGAGGAAGAATATGATCATCCAAATTCAAATTACAATAATTTTATATCAGGCATTTAGTAGAAGACCCAACCATCAAAGCCAAATGGGAGGTTTACTATTAAAATCGAGTTACAATCATATTATACTTGATTTAATAGCAAACCTTCCAAATTGATATATTTTATACTAGAATTATCCAGTAGAAGTCTTATATGTAATGCCCTATCTTTCAAAGAGTACATACATTAATTAACCCGCATAATACAGTCTAGTTTAAGCCAAGAACCCTTATATAAACTTCATCAATGAGCATGTCTAAAGTACAAGCGTAACCCTACCTCAGAAGAATTCACCTTAACGGCACGGTAGGTAGTTCGTTGGATGAATGGTATGAATAACTTCTCTCTTCTAATCAGACCTTTATCTGTAGAATACTGTTAAAGG